AGTACAGGGCTATGGGCAGCTCCTTCTACTCTCTGGGAATTAGTTTTCCTATCTGTGAAATGTAGTCTACAGTAGGCAGAAAAATAGCTTCCAAAGGTATATGCATCCTAACTCCTGGAGACTGGAGGTGTTACTGTATTGGGGAAAAGGATCTTGAAATGGTAAATTATCCTGAATTATTTAAGTGGGCTGTACATGTAAATTAATAGGAGCAAGGCAGAGGGAAATTTGACAACTATCTTACTTTTCATAGGCTGCCATCACAAAATACTTTAATAGGGCAGCTTAAATAACCACAAGTTATTTCTTTCTGTTCTGGAGGCTGGGAAGTTCAAGGTCGAGGTTTTATTCTGCAAGGTAGGTTTCATCCTGAGGCCTCTTCTCTTAGCTTGTAGGAGGCTGCCACACTGCTGTGTGCTCACATGGCCCCTTCTTTGTGACCACACCAAGCTCCCTGGTGTCTCTTCAGTAGGACAGTAATCCCATCATGAGGGCCCCACCATCATGACCTCAACTAACCCTGTTTATCTCCCAAAGGCTCCACCTCCACTTTCTATCACTTCAGAAGAGCTTCAACATAGGTACTTTGGTGGGGGGCGCACAATTCAGTCTGTAGCAACATCACACAAAGGAAAAAGCAACAGGAAGTGGGACAGAGAGCTTTGAAGATGTCCTTGGAGACTGACCTGATGCAGCCACAAGCCCACGAATCACAGGAGCCACCAGATCTGGAAGAGGCCAGCAAGGGCAGCTTCTCCCTTGAGCCCTCAGAGGGAGCGCGGCCCTGCCAACCTTCAATTTCAGAATTCTAGCCTGTAGACTGTGGATTAAAGTTCTGTTTTAAGCCACCAACTTTGTGGTAATGTCTTACAGTAGCCACAGGAAAATAATGGAGGAACCATAGTGATTTTAAAGGGTGATTTAGAAGATCTGTGTCATCCCTCCCTGGTCGGCATTGATGCTTATCTTCTGCTTTCCATTCCCCACCTGGAACCCTAGAAATGGGAATCAAAGCAGGCCATCTTCTGCTAAAAGCCTTTTGTTAGCTCATTATAATTAAAGAAATAAGAGCCAAAAATCATGTGCAGTGCAGCAGCCACGCACATAACAGCACAAGCAGGGGAGAGACCCAAGTGTGGCAGAGAGGAGAATGCATAAACAGGCTATAGGGTGTTTGTGTGACAGGGCCCTGTGCAAGAGCCCAGAAGGAACCAAGGACACACACAGCCACACGGATGTGCACTCGGAAAGAAGCCAGATGCTGACAGGCAAGCCCCTCATGGTCCCATGCATAGGTCAGCAAAGCTTGTCTGTGGTGGGGGGAGGTCAAGATGGCAGTGGCACCGAGGCACATGAAGGCCAGGCTGGCTTCAGGGAGCCAAAGATACTCATGTGCTATCAGACCTGGTTGCCCAGGATTGTCACTGGGTATGGTGTGTGTGTCTCTACATATTATGTCTCCAGCATAAGGTTAAAAAGTTCTCAGTAAGAGAAAGCAAAGTGGTTGCCAGGGCCTGATGAGAGAGGGAATGGGCATGAGTGCTGAGGGGTACAGGGTTTCTTTTTTGGGGTAATGAATATGTTCTGGAACTACATAGAGGTGGTGGTTGTTGTAAGTCCGGGGAAAGGAAATCCCGGGGCAAAATACCTAAAAAAAATGGAATCAAAGGGAAAAGTGAAGTTTAAAACCCGCTGATTGCTTACAAACTGCAGTCCATCTCTCTCACCTGCTCCAGAAGGAAGCAAGCAAGCAAGCTGCCAGCCCGCCAGCCCCTTCCCTTAAACTCTCAGGTTCAGACACGCCCTTGGTTGCCCAGGTAATCACCCATTGACATGGAGATAAACTTCTCTCCACCCCTGAGAATATAAAAATGCACTAAAGCCAAGCGAGATAATCTGGAAATGTTACAATTTTACCCACAGTTGCACAACATTGTGAATATATGAAATGCCACAGAATGTACCCTTTTAAAGTAGATAAAATCAATTTGATGTTATGTGAATTCTAACTAAAAAAAATGTAGAAAAGTAATACAACCCAAACCTCATCTTGTAGCCTACAAAACTGTCAGGGTGAAACGGCCATCATCTTCCTGCATTTGCTTGTCCTTTTACACATCTGCTCACCATCGGGTGGGCCTGGGCCTGCCATGGTAGATGCAGCAGTGAACAGTTTGGATTTTGCAACCTTGGGATTCTCTACAGATGAAATGTGAGGGAAGAGGAGACAGCGGGAAGGGGAGGTGAAGAGAACACTGGGCAGAGGGAACAGCTAGTACAAAGACCCTGAGGTGGGAACAACGGGTTGGCCTGTGTGGTGGAAGCCAGGTGAGCTCAAAGTCAGCGGGGCCGGTGACCCTTGGGCTCTCCAAATCTGATTTTGATGTGTGTGGTAATATTACATAGTACTTCCATGTTAAACTGTTCAATTCAATGGCATTAAATACATTTGTGATGTGCCTTATCACAGCCGTGTAGTGAAGGAAGCCTGTGAAAGACACTGGGGGTGATGCAGCCACACAAGATGTCCCTTGAAAACAGGTGTGGGGGTGATGCCTGAAGTTTGGAGGAAGAACCAGGCGCAGGTATGGAGTTTGGGGAAAGGAGAGAACGAGGGTGGCTGTCTGCAGACAGGTGTCCAGATGGTTGGTGGGCAGTCCTTGGCTGGGCCTGACTCCTACGCAGTGTTTCACCCCACAGCCCTGTCTGCCAAGCCCGGTTATAGTTAGTTGCCAGTGGTGCAGCACTGGGAACAATGAGGCTCATAGGGGATGAGAGAAGGTGACACTGACTACTCAGTCTGGCCTGGGGGTGGGCGCAGCAGAGTGAGATTTACCTGCATCCTGCCTCATAGCTCTGGACCTCTGCATGGGCCCGCTCCTCAGAGAGAACTCAGCCCTGGCATTGCCCTGCTGGCCTAAGCCTACTCTGGCCGGTCCTGGGGTGACACTTCCTGCTTCCCTCCGTCTGACTGAGCCTGGTTGCCAATTCACCCTCCCCAGCCAGTGCTATTCTGGTATTTCTAGAAGCCTTTGTTTCCCCATTTACACAAGGGGGCTGGCAGTGGCCCAGCACCTGGTGATAAGGTGTGAAGACCTGCTGCTGGCACCTGCTGACACCCAGCTGGTGAGGTGGCATGTACCAGTAAAGTCCCAGGCCCGAAGGAAAATGGGTTCTGTTTAGAAAGAGGAGCATGGGCCCTTGAAACCGGAGGGCCAGCTGCCAGCCAGCATGTGAAGGGCCTGTAAGCAGGGGCAACCAGAGGACCCAACCTACCCAGCCGGCTGTCCAGCAACCTCTGGACACCTACCACCCCTCACGGCGCTGCTTCCTCTGTCAGCCCATAGTTTCTGCCTGAACTGGCCTTCCCTGGGATGCTGGGTGCAGCCCTGGGAGGCCACTGCTACACGCTATACCATTACCAACTTACTCTGACCGCCTGGCGAGTTCTCCCCAGGCCTGCCTAGTAGGGGCCACCTCTCCCGTCCTCCTGGGTGATGGAGCGCAAGTGGGGTTGTGGGCCATGCCCAGGAAATATTATTAAGGGGCACTGCCTGCAGCCTGCTTGCTGCCAGTCACCAATTTCCCCACAGTTATCAGAAGCTGTTAGAGGGTCCAAGGCCGGGTTTGGGGAGCCGCTGGAGGTGGCCATCCGGTGGGGAGGCGGGGATGGGACCGGGCTGAGCTGAGGGCGGGGCGGCTGGCTTTGGAGGCCGCCCGGGTCTGGAACAAAGGCAGGGCCCGAGACAAAGCCCAATGCTCCCGCCCCGCTGCCACCGAGGCCACGCCAGCCCTAGGCCTGGACGCGCCTGCCACGGCCCGCTCCACTCGCAGCCTCCTGGCCAGCCCCACCTAGTGAGGCGGACAGGGCCTGGGGGCGGGGCTCGCGGGCCTCGCGGCGGTGCGCAGACCTTCGGCGCTGACCCCCGCCCCTCCCTCACCCCGGCGCTGCTTCTGAGCCCAGTGCCCCCGACAGGGTCCACTCCCACAGATCCTGCTCCCACGCCAGACTAATCCCCTCTCACAGATCTCCCTGCCTCAGGATCCCCTCCCACAAACTCTGCTTCCTCCTCTGGCAGAATTCCCACAAAAAGGCCATTTTTCTGTCAGATTGATTCCCCCCAGCCCCTAGAGGCCTTGCTTTTCTCATTTGGGAATTCTCAGACTCTGCTTCCTCCCTCGCGGAGGACGCCTCCCACCCGCCCTGCTCCCCACCGAGGCCGGATTCCACTCCGCGTCCCCCTGCCTCGGATGGCATTCTCCCTCTGCAGACCGTGTGCTTCTTCCTGAGACAAAATTCACCCCCTTAGGCCTTACTCCCTCCTTATAATCCCCACATTGTTGAGGTTCGGTTTGCCCACCTGGAAAGTCATCAAAGTTAGCGCAGCGCAGGGCTGGCTAGTAGGTGGGAAGGGACTCTTGGGGTGTGGGGGCCAGGTGAAATTTCACCGACTCTGTGATCGGTAGGGCCTTGGGATCTAATTAATGCAGGTTTCAGTGTTTCTGATGTTATACGATCAAATGGTTTCAACCCCAAGTCAGCCTCCTGGTTCAAAAAGACGCTTTCTCGGATGGGGACCTTCGGCTCCCTCCCAGGGCCCTGCGTCTCCCTCAGCCTTGGTCCGCCCCTCCCCGGGAAGTTCCTTGGCGTAGCAGCAGCAGACCTCTCCGGAGCGGCCCATGGGACGGGATTGAGGTGGAGGACCGGACTCCCAATTCGCGTGCACAGCACAGCAGTCCGGCCACGGGGCTGGCGGGGAAGCTCTAGGAAAGGTGTGCACGCCCAGCCCGCGGACTGGGTTGCGGCGATGACGCCACAGATGCACCTCCCAGCCTCACGGACCGCGCCGAAGTGGCAGAGGCGGAGGTAGGGAGAGTCGGCTCAGGCGCTTGCGTACTCGAGGCCTCGCCCGCGGCGGCGGCGGGCCCTGGCCCCGCCCCTGGGCGCGAGGAACGCAACGCGCGTGCGCCTCGGCGTCGGCGCCAGTTATTTCTGTCCCGCCCCCCGGCCGCGACTCTTTCTGCGAGCGGGCGCGCGGGTGAGCAGTTGTGTTCGTGGCGCGATACGCGGGTCTCCGTGGGCGCTGAGGAGAAAGCGCGGGCGTCGGCGGCGGGAGGCGAGTAGGCAGCAGGCGGCCGGGCCTCAGCAGCGTCCCGCGCGCAGCGGGCGGCGGCCCAGGCGGCTCTTGGCGGCGTTCGGCCTCGCGGCAGCGGCGGCCCAACCGTTGGCGGTGAGCGCTTGTGCGCCTGCGCGGTGGGTCCCGCATCCCTCCTCTCCCCTGGGCGCCCCCGGCGGCGTGTGAATGGCGGCCTCGGCGGCGGCGGCCTCGGCGGCGGCGGCGGCGGCCGCCTCGGGCAGCCCGGGCCCGGGCGAGGGCTCGGCGGGCAGCGAAAAGCGCGCTGCCGCCTCTTCTGCCGCGGCCTCGGCTTCGGCCACTGCTTCGGCGTCGTCGCCCGCTGGGGGTGGCGGCGAGGCGTTGGAGTTGCTGGAGCACTGCGGCGTGTGCCGGGAGCGTCTGCGGCCCGAGAGAGAGCCGCGCTTGCTGCCTTGCCTGCACTCGGCCTGCAGCGCTTGCCTCGGGCCCGCGGCGCCCGCCTCCGCCAACAGCTCGGGGGATGGCGGTACTGCGGGTGACGGTGCCGGTGAGTATGGTGAGGCCTGGGGCGACCCCTCCCCCACATCCCGCAGCGTTTGCTTCCGACTCGGCTCGGGAATGGGGGGGGGTACGTTCGCGGTGTGGCGATGGTAGGGGGTCGCCTGGACAAGGGAGGATGGGAACCGGACGGTGCCTGGGATTGGGTGCGGGCGATGGTGTTTGGACCAAGCGGTAATTTGGAGCGTCTGTTCCAACTATGAAAGAGGAGTGTGGTTTTTGCTCTTTGTGGGGAGGGTTTTGGCCTGGCGTAGGTTGGATGTTTGGGCCGCCTGGGGGATGGGAATACAGCCTGGATGTGAATGTGCAGTGGTTTCTTATGCTCTTGGCAGTGGTGGACTGTCCTGTGTGCAAGCAGCAGTGCTTCTCCAAAGACATTGTGGAGAATTACTTCATGCGTGACAGTGGCAGTAAGGCTGCCACCGACTCCCAGGATGCAAATCAGGTATGTCCTGCCCCAGCAACACCTAGGAGGTCTTGGGCCACGGGGAGGGGGCACCAGCTCGGAAACATGGTCCCAACTCCAAGCTTTATTTTCCCTGTACTAGAAGGTTCAGGGTATGCTGTTGAAGCTAGGTAAAAGCACTGCTTCAGCTCATGTTGTTGTTTCTTGGGTTGCATATGCAGACCAGTCTGGTTGTTCTGTCATGTCTGTTCTGTCATGTCTGACTCTCTCTTTGTCCAGCAGTGCTGCACTAGCTGTGAGGATAATGCCCCAGCCACCAGCTACTGTGTGGAGTGTTCTGAGCCGCTGTGTGAGACTTGTGTGGAGGCACACCAGCGAGTGAAGTACACCAAGGACCACACTGTGCGCTCCACTGGTATGCAAGGTGGAGAGGTTGGCGTAGGGTGCCCTCCCACATGAGCTGTCATGTGCTTACGAAGCTTGTAGCTGGTGGATGGGTCTCAGGGAGCTGCTTTAAGGGATGCTACGTGAAGGGCTAGAGGGGAACTCAAAAACTGGGAGGCTGGGACTGTGGTGTACTGTCTCTTGCAGGTTTAGGTGGGGGGAGTGCACAGAGGATCTCAGTGTGCCACAAGGAGGTGTACAGAGGGTTCAAGGAAGTTACCAGGGAAGCTCCCAGCAGGGAGTGGTGGAGGGACTGGTATGTGCAGATGGGGAAAAGAGTCTGGGGAAGGGTGTGAAGTGCTTTCAGGACTTGGAGTTCCGTATCACTGGGCTTAAAGGTCTTAGGGGCTTATGAGGCCACAGTGTTTTTATAAGCTTTGAAGGCCTTTACACCATCACTGACACTCTTGGAAGTGTTCTAATTTTCTGTTGTAGGTGTCTTATGGAAGCACAGGAAGATACTGTCAGGTTTTTCTGTGAATGTGCTGGCACTGGTATGGAAGGAGGCTTGGGGGCCATATGAGTCTTACCAGGTCTTTGGTCCTGAACTTCGTACGAGTGCCTTTTAATAGTTAACACTGTCTCTTCCATCCTGGAGGACTGTATTGGCTGGAGGATGAGTATGAAGTGGTGGTTGTGGTGCATGAGGAGCCTGAAGGGAAGGGCAGAAGTCTGTAGGTGTCCTGGGTTGCAGGCAGAGGTCAAAGTGAGTAGGGAGCAATATTGGAGGAGGCAGGGTCTGGCAGATCTCTCTGTGTCATAGGTTTTAGGCTGGGTTGGTGTAGCTAGGACAGGATTGGGGAGGAAGGTGGAATGGATGTTCACTAGCAGCTTTTTACTGGTGACAGGTTAGGGGGGATGTCAGTGTGATGTGTTGGTCTTTGGGTGGTATGGCTCTGAGCAGCAGGACCCTCCACCCAGAGAGGGGGCTTGACACCTTTCCAAGGGTTCTAGTCTGACATCTCATTTCTCTTAGTCTGAGAAGGCTTCTCAGGGGCTCCTTTGGGCCTGTGGGTTGTAAGAGGTCTGTGGCCTTCTCTTACCAGAGAAGAGAGAGGTCTCCAGGCCTGGCTTCTGAGGAAACTGTGCCTGAATGGTGTCTCTAGGCCCTGATTTGCTTTCTGTCTGTGACAGAAAGCAAATATTCTGCGTGCTGGGATGACACAGTAGCCAGAATCCCCTCCCCTGCTGGACAGAACCTGCTGTGAGTGGAGGAGAAAGGGAATCTATGGGAGGGGTTCAGAGGTGGAGTAGCTCTCTTGAGTGTCCACCTGGAGAAGGTGCCAGTAGAGGGGAGTAGCAGGGGGGAGGTCTTTCCTGCCAGATGCCATCATCCTTACACTTTGTTGTCACTGCCAGAAACTGAAAGGAGGGGGGCATCTCTTGGTTAGGTATGGGGGTTTGGGGAGCAAGGATCTGCGCTTGCAGGTTTATGCTTTTCCTTGGCCGCTGCCACTGGGTCCTCTGGGTTTTCCCAACAGACAGCCCAGGGTTGTAGGACAGGCAGGAAGTGAGGCCCCAAGCTCTGTCCGCTCCCTGAGTTGGAGGTGGCTGAGGATGCGCTCCAGCCTCATGGTCCTGTCTCCCAGGGCCTGCCAAGTCAAGGGATGGTGAGCGAACAGTGTACTGCAACGTGCACAAGCACGAGCCCCTCGTGCTGTTCTGTGAGAGCTGTGACACCCTCACTTGCCGGGACTGCCAGCTCAATGCCCACAAGGACCACCAGTGAGTCCTAAGGCAGGGTAGGTAGGTGGGTGGGTGCTCCCCGTCCTGTGCCTAGTGCCTAGACCCACCACTGTCTGCCCTCAGATACCAGTTCCTGGAGGATGCAGTGAGGAACCAGCGCAAGCTGTTGGCTTCACTGGTGAAACGCCTTGGGGATAAACATGCAACTTTGCAGAAGAACACCAAGGAGGTTCGCAGCTCGTAAGTACAGATGCTTGGTTGTTGTGGGGGGTGTCTTGGCTAACATCTTCCTGACCGAGCCTAACCTGGCCCACCTTGCTCCCAGGATCCGTCAAGTATCTGATGTACAGAAGCGTGTGCAGGTGGATGTTAAGATGGCCATCTTGCAGATCATGAAGGAACTGAACAAGCGGGGCCGTGTGCTGGTCAACGATGCCCAGGTACATTTCTATGTGGGAGGGAGGGTCTCTGGGCCCCATTTGCTGGCCACTGGCCCCATCTGTGGTGGAAGGATCCTGGTGACCACCTTTTACTGGCTTTCTTTGCCATCCTTACATGGGATGGGGTCCTCTTATTCCCTTTTCTCAGCTGAATTTCCTTCTCCACCTATAGAAGGTGACTGAGGGGCAGCAGGAGCGCCTGGAGCGACAGCACTGGACCATGACTAAGATCCAGAAGCACCAGGAACACATCCTGCGCTTTGCCTCATGGGCCCTGGAGAGTGACAATAACACAGCTTTGCTGCTCTCCAAGAAGCTGGTGTGTGCTGGTGGGCACCTGGGTAGTGGGTTCCAGGTAGGTGCCCTCCAGCACCCTGGAGCTTTACTCACTGCATATGCTGATGCACCACCTGCCCCAGATCTATTTCCAGCTGCACCGGGCCCTTAAGATGATAGTGGACCCTGTGGAGCCACATGGTGAGATGAAGTTCCAGTGGGATCTCAATGCTTGGACCAAGAGTGCAGAGGCCTTTGGTGGGTCCTCTTTTTTTTTTTTTTTTTTTTTT